ACAACAACAACAACAACAACAAGAAAAAGAAGAATTTTCAGCAAAGTACAAACATTTACAGCATTCTTTTAAATTTTTTGTTAATTCTTTACTGTGGAATAGCTCAGAACGTCACTTCTTGTTTTAGATGGGAAATTAATAACAACAAGAAAACTTAATCTGAATTACAAAATTCTTGTTTTAATAAAAATTCCTTACACCAGGAATTAAATATGAGTCAATTCTGACCCATAGCGACCCTGTATGGGGTTTCCGAGGAGAAGCTGGTGAGCTGGAACCGCCGACCTCGCAGTTAAAACAGCTTTCCAATCTGGCACATTAATCCAAAGGGCCACACCAGGACTGTAGGGTAGGGAGTGTGAATCCGGAGAATGGAATGAAAAACGAGGCCCCCAACTCAGAACTACCGCCTGTCTGCGCCCACGTCTCCAGATTGAACGCGAAATCCGTCCCCTCTCTGTGACGTCACTTCCGCTTCCTGCCTTGGGCGGCCATTTCTGTGCGGATCGCGCCTGGCCGGTGGAAACGCAGCTCGTGCTGGATCTTTGGCCGCGCTCCTCCCGGAGTGGCGAGTGCGTGGAGCCGCAACCATGGTGAGTGCGTGCGCTGGGAGGGAGGCCAGGGAATCGAAAGACTCGGGTTCGGTTTACGCACGTCCGAGTCTTTGGCTCTTCTGCCAGGCCCGGGTTTAGAGCACCGGCAGCTTCGGGCTCCCAACAACCGGGCCTAGGATTAGAACGAATGCCACTCTTCGGCTTAGAATTTATCAGTTGCGGGGTCCCAGCCGCCTGGACCGGAGTTAGAACTTGGGAATTGTAGTGCCCAATCACTAGTTGGGCGCAAGGCGAGTCTTGGGAGAGCGAGAGAGAGACCATCCCACGTGGAAGAGGGCAGAAATCTTGATGGTAAAAAACTGTTACAATTGTTGTTGGTTTTTTTGCGATCTCTAAAGGATGGCGTGGAGCCCTGGGTTTCGGTAAATTTACCCCAACCTCACCCTACTAACTGGGGTTCCATAGAGGGAGACCTTCAGCGAATTCCACGTGCTTGGGGTAAAGGAGAGGCGGGAGGTGGGCATGTGGAATGACCCGGATCCCAGGCCTCCTGCGAAGCGGCGGCCTCAAAAATGAGAGGCCCGGGTAGGACCACGTGCGGCTTCTCCAAATTTCTGGAAGAGCTGCAAATAGTGTATCCTGGTGGTTCTGGTTGACACTTGGTAGGGAGGGGAGGGAGGCGTTAGAAACCCTCTAACGCCCTAGTTTAATCCCCTTAATGGGGCTTGGAGCCCCGCGGTACTACCACCGCATCTCTTACAGTCTTAAGGGATCTGAAAGCACGTGCGTGGCTGAGTTCTAAGCTGAAATGCACAAGCCAGTGCTCCTTGTGGTGCTATTTTAACGCAGTTTCTCAAAAAGTTTTGGAAGCGGATGGTCTCAGGTTGAACTCTGAGGCAGTTTTCCTCAACTGTAAAATGGTAACAAGGCATGAGAATGAGAGTGTTGTGAGGAATAAATGAGATAGATAATGCATGCTAAAGCTTTACTCCTGGGTATTAGAATGGTTGTTAGATCAGAACCTTGCAAATATGTCCAGGGAGGGAGACCAAGCTAATCAAGCTTGTTACCTGCTGTCAGCGGCTGGTGAGCCTGAACCGCCGAGCTTACAGTGCAAACCGACCTTGCAATCCGGCGCATTAACACGCAGCACCACAAGCTTGTTGTTATGTGCCGTGGAGTCGGTTCCGACCGATAGCAACCCTGTACAGGGTTTCCGAGGCTGTAAATCATTACGGGAGCAGAACGCCTCATCTTTCTCCCACTGAATAGCTGGTAGTTTCGAACTGCTGACCTTACGAACTGCAGACCATACGGTTTGCAGGCCGATTCGTAACCACCACATGACCAGAGCACTTAAGGGTAATTTCATTCGTGTATGTGTCAGTAATTAACACATGAAAGGATTAAAGGTGAATAAATAACACTAAACAAGTATAGATTTGGGGTTTATAAACTGGGTTGCTGTTAAGTGTCTAAGAGTCAGTTCCGGCCCATAGCAGCCCTGTATAGGGCTTCTGGTGAGCTTGAACCACTGACCTTGTAGTTCAAAGGGCTTTCAGTCTGGGGCATTAACCCATAGTGCCACACCAGGACTCCTATAAACTGGGTAGTTTGGTTTTAAAGTTGAGTCTGCCTAACTTTGTTTTAAAGTTAATTAACATTACAAAAATAACTGGCATTGTAAGTACAGATGATGGTAAGTCCAGAAGTATTGCTGCAAAATCATAGAAATCTTTCTTAAAACAAAAATACCAAAATGTGAAGTTGTTTCTGGATATCTCCATTTGGGTCTGTACACGTCTGAAGGTGGCGTTTCTGTTCCTCAACACGTACTAGAAGAATTCTGTGCTCTTTGATTTACAACACAGCAAAACAGTTTTAACATCTCAAGAAACTTGAATTCATCAACGCAGCTTTACTTTTTCTTAAAACTTACTAATAAGCTCCTGCCATCCTGTGTTCTTTAAGAAAACCTATGAAGATTACTCCTTGTTGTTAGTGCCATCGAGTCGGCTCCAGCCCACAGCGACCCTGTATAGAGTTTCTGAGGAGTGACTGGTAAGCTTGAACTGCTGACTTTGCAGTTGGAACCAACCTTGCAGTCCAGCACATTAACCCACAGCAACATACCAGGACTCCAAGCAGTTGTTGTTGTTGTTAAGTGCCAATGAGTCGGTTCCACCTCATAGTAACTCTGTGTAGGGTTTTCAAGGAGCGGCTCATGAGCTTGAACTGCCTACCTGTGGTTCAAACTAACCTTGCAGCCCAATGCATTAACCCACAGTGCCACAAGTTAGTTCCGACTTAAAATGGCCCTCTATAGGGTTTCCCACGAACAGCCGGTCAGTTCAAACCACCGACCTTGCAGTTAGCAGTCCAGTGTTTATCCTACAGAGGAGAAAGATTTTTAAGGTAGAGCAAGGCTTTGAACCAGTTCTCAGTTCAGTCACGGTCAAAGAAGCAAAATTGGAACAGAGTTGAATGTTTTTAATTTTGGATAACCAAATTGGGAAAATTCTGGGTGGAAGCCCTGAATCTCCCTTTTACAAAACAAGGGCAGCTTAGGAGTTGCATAGTTCTTGCTCATAGCATTTTGAGCAGAATTGGAAACAGGTTCCCCGCTCAGAGATGGTGGCAGGCAACGTCTCTTCACAATCCTGCCAATAATCAATTCGCAAGTAACAAGTTGCCAAAGGGTATGCAGAAGACTTCATGCAGTATCAGGTTTGGAGGACAACTCAACAGCCTGTCATGTACAGATGACACAACCTGGCTTGCTGAGAGTGAGGAGGTCTTGAAGTACTTAAAGATCAAACACTAGATTTGAGCTTTTTTGAAGCTACCAACTCTGTGCTACCACTAAAGCACTAATTTAAAACAATGATTGAAAGCAAGTAGAACTAGAGAGCCCTTGATTAACTAACCCAGTTGTTAACTGAACGACTGACAGTTTACTTCTGGAAAATGAGCCTTGTAGATCAAGTTGGTAATCATAAGGCAAAAGGTCATTAGAATAACTTTAAGCTTAGTACTTTATGTATAAGAAAAAAAGACAAAGTTGCCCCTTGTGCATTTATTGATGTGGTGGTGTACCATGGAGTCGGTCTTACTCATAGCCCTGCATAGGGCTTCCAAGGCTTTAGTTTTACAGGAGCAGAAAGCCATTCTCCAGTGGAACCACTGGTAGTTTCAAACTGTTGGCCTTGAGATTAGCAGCCTGACTTAGAGCCACTATGCTATTAGAGCTCCTTAATCAGATAGTAGTTTTTTGTTTTTTTAAAATTGTCGTAAATGTTGGATAATGAGATAGTTAAGTGTCATTTAGTTGGTTCCGACCCATAACGACACCCTGTATAGGGTTTCCAAGGAGCAGCTGGTGAGCTTGAACTGCCAACCTTGCAGTTCAAACTTTGCAATCCAGTGTATTAACCCGCAGCGCCACCCCAGGACTCCAGTACCATTCCGTTTTTGTGGGCTTGGGACTGGGCAGGCTGGTGTTGAGTGTATGTTGGGGGTTCACTGGCCACTGTGTCTTTCAGTTGTTGGTGAAAATGTTTTTGTAACGTGTCTGGAACAACTGCTGGTGCCTCTTGGCTGATGCTTTGTTGTCTCCCCTAGACTGAAGCAGATGTAAATCCAAAAGCCTACCCCCTCGCAGATGCCCACCTCACAAAGAAGCTATTGGACCTCGTTCAGCAATCCTGCAACTACAAGCAGCTTCGAAAAGGAGCCAATGAGGGTAAGGCATCAGACAGTGGGCCTGGTGGGAGTGCTGGGGGCTGTCTGGGTCTAGACTTCAATCAGAGGTAAAGGCTGGATATTCTGACTGACCAATAGGAGGACTTGCTAGGTACTGTTGAATGGTTCTGACGTGACTCTGTGTAGGGTTTCTGAGAAGCAACTGATGGGTTTGAGCCACTAGATCCCAGTCCAGTGCTGACCCTATAGCTCCTCACCAGGAGTCTATGGAGGGCTTAGGACCATATTTACCATTGGATATAAAGGTTGGTGGCCTGAGAATTATTTTACATCCACCAGTTGTTTACATTTCGCCACATTTGCTGCTTTTTCTGTATATGAATGTTGGGGAAAGGGGGTCCCGTCCCGTTGAACCATGAGAGTCAGTTATAGAGACTGTATTACCTTTGTGATCCCCCCAGAGCCATAGAAGGGAAATAAGACTGTTTTCTCATCTCTCTGAAACTCGGGGTACTTTCCATTCACAAATCTCAGAAAGATCCTTTGTGGTGGTGTGTTTAAGTAATTTTATTTTTGTTGTTGTTGTTAGATGCCATCGAGTCAGTACGGACTCATAGCAACCCTATGCACAACAGAACAAAACTCTGCCCAGTCCTGGGCCAACCTCCATCTTACCAAACATAGGCTTCTTCAGCGACCGGTACCCCCTGACAATAGTCCAAAGTATGGCTTTGAAGGAGCATTCTGACTACACGTCTTCCTTGCTATAATTGTTAAGGAGTCCTTAAGCACTGTGGGATACTACACTGAACCACCACAAGGTCACTGTGAGTCAGAACTGACTGGATGTCACTTAACAATAACAACGTTGTTTAAAATTAGGAAAGGTACGCACCTGGGTTGTATTCTGTCACCATATTTATTCAACCTGTATGCTGAGCAAATAATCTGAGAAGCAGGCTTTGAAGAAAAACGTGGCATCAGAATTGGAGAAAGACTTGTAAACAACCTGAGAAATGCAAATGATACAACCTTGCTTGCTGAAAGCGAAGAGGATTTAAAATACTTACTGATCGTGGTCAAAGATGGTGGCTCTAATCTTTGGATTGGAAAGATTGACCACCTCAATCTTTTCTCCCTTTATTATGATTTTTTTTTTTTTATTGGACCAATTGTGAAGATTTAAGTCCGTTTTGCTCTCAGCATATTATATCATGCCATCTGCGTACCACAGGTTGATACTGAGTTTTTCTCCAGTCTGATGCAGCATTCTTCTAGTGGTTTAGAACCAAACACTGCCTGGTCCCATCCCATCCTTAAAATCTAATGAGAGTGGGAAGTAGGATTTGCACTTGGGAGTGTCTGGCTCCAGTGCTATGCAGAGTGAAGTCTATGGACCAACACTTTGTTTCATTCTAAGAGAGTAAGCAGGTGAAGCAGTGCTGGGGACGGGGTCTGTGTCAGAGATCTGGGGTGAGCTCTCTGGAAGTAGTGCTGCCCTGCAGACTGTGAGGGTGACCCTGACCTATGACCACAACTAGTCTCAGAAGCCCTGACCACCCTGTGGAAGCTGTCACCGTGGCTGGGTGACTTGGGTACGTACGTGTGGCAGTAGAGGAGAGCAAAGAAGTGGTCAGATTCAGGTGTGATTTGCAGACAGGACTGAGGGGTCTGATGGAGAGTTCACACCACTAATTGATGTTTGGGTCCTTCACTGCCTCCTAGGGGAACTCCAGAGCAGAATTGTTTTTGCTTTCACCCCGTTTTCTCACACTGGTTTTTCTTTTCTTAGAAATGGCTCTGTTGTGGCCTATTCTGCTCCTCATCCTAAGCCCCATGTTACATTGGCCTCATGTCCGGTTTTCTCCACAGCCACCAAAACCCTCAACAGAGGCATCTCGGAGTTCATCGTGATGGCCGCGGATGCCGAGCCGCTGGAGATCATCCTGCACCTCCCGCTGCTGTGTGAAGACAAGAACGTGCCCTATGTGTTTGTGCGCTCCAAGCAGGCCCTTGGGCGGGCCTGCGGTGTCTCCAGGCCTGTCATTGCCTGCTCCGTCACTATTAAGGAGGGCTCCCAGTTGAAGCAGCAGATCCAGTCCATTCAGCAGTCCATCGAGAGGCTTCTCGTCTAAGCCGGTGGCCCTGCCCGCTGGCTTGCAGCTCCTCCCCGGGGTGGGGAGCATAGGTCATGCACAGTAGTGTGTGGTGTTCTCAGCTACTTCCTAATTGTTGTAAGATATTGTCCTGAGTGGTTTCTGGATTTTTATATATTATTTTTGTTTTGTTGGCGCATCCCCCAGCCCTTCTCTGTGTCTTTTTCTCTGCTATTTTAAAAAATATTTCTTATAGGAGCCTAGTACCCAGTGGAGGAAGTAGCAGTGTGGTAGCCACGTTAAAAGGCAGGTGCAGTGGCCAAGAGAAAGCTGACCGACCCAAGGCAGAGTTCCAGCTACCATCTGCTCACTTCTGGATCCCTATCTACTTGGCGTCCCTTACGTCTGGCACACAGAACCATTCCCTCAATGATGCGTAATGGGGGCTTTTCCTCTGTCCTCTAGGAGGGGGTAAGCTCGTCTGCAGTGAGGTGGTTAGACTTACTTTGCACCTTGCTATTTGCTCCAGTGATGTGATGCTCTCCCCAGCCCCTACCCGTGCTCCTGAGGGTGGCAGGATGCCCACGTACCAAAGAGACACTGAGGGATTCTGGGGCAGCCTGGGTGACGTAGGCTTGGGATAGCCAACCTAGGCCTTGAAGAAGTAGTGGGCCAGGTGGTGTTGGAATGAAGGATTCCAAGAAAGGCACAGAGACCTGGCTGGAGCTGGCAGCCAGAGATGATCCGATCCAAGGAAACCCCCTTGTGAATGAGAATTTCTTCAGTGGACACTTTGTGCCGGTACCAAGACCCCTCACACCTGCTTCTTGCCACAGCGCAGGTCAGGTGGCTCTTCTCACATCACAGGGACCGTGCTAATATTGAGCTAATTCATTCTAATAAAAGAGTATCTTCATAGTCCTGCTGAATAGTTAATCACTGAGTGAAGCAACCTTGTGCTACCAGAGTATTTACTGCTTTTCCCCAGCAGGCTGAGAAAGCCAGCATGAACCATGGGGGTTCTGGCTTGGTGGTTCTGAAGGTCTTGTTTTTGACAGACTTGCTCACTGGAATGTTGCATTCTGTCCCCAGCAGCACAGAAAGGGCTATTATTCTAGAACAGGGTTTTTCACCCATGGCACTGTGGGCTGGTATTTCTGTTGTGAGGGGCTGAGCTGTGTATTACACATGGTTTAGCGGCATCCCTACCCAGTAACATGCCAGATGCCATACCACCACTGCCCACGTTTACAAAGCATAGTCTCCACACATTGCTCAGCGTTCCCTCAGAGGTGCGCTCAGCCCCAGTTAAGAACTGCGGCTATAGAATAGGAGACTTGGGAGTGGAGGTGGGGATCAAATTTCCTTCCAAGGTGTAAATGATACCAACCAAAAAACCCCATGCCTTTGAGTCTATTCTGACGCAATCCTGTGGGACAACATCTAAGGGTTTACGAAACAATCTTCAGGAATAGATAACCCCATCTTTCTCCTTATGAGTGGCTAGTGGAGTTGAACTGCTGACCTTGCAGTTAAATCCCACTGCTTAAACCACTGTGCTACCAGTGTTCCTTTGTTAAAAAAGTTCCAACTCAGCAACCCTGTAGAGGGTTTCCCAGGAGCAACTGGTGAGAGTTTGAACCAACCTGGTGGTCCAATGCTTATCACCCAGCCCCACACCAGGGTTCCTTAGCAAAGTCTAATAAGGACTAATGAGACTTAAGTCTTCCTAGCCAGCTTTGACTGCCCAGTCCTGCAGGAAACATCTGGAAGGCCCCAGAAAGCACTCTGACTTGCCAATGTCTGTTCTGTCACTGTCCCATCTCACTCCAGTGCTGCTAGCCCCTCCCCAAGGCTTCGGGTTTGTTACGTGTCGAGTCAGTTGCGACCCTTTATAGGGTTTCTGAGGAGCAGCTGGTAAGCTTGAACTGCTGATCTTGTGGTTCAAATGGCTTTGAGTCTGGCGCATTTTGCTAATTAGGTGCTGTTGTCAGTTCCAACTCCTGTGACCCTATATGCAACCAAAGTGGACCCTGCCCAGTCCTGTGCTAGCCTCTCATCGCTGTCAGTCCAGCCCCTTGCCAGTCTCTGCTCCCCGCCCCGCTCTGAAGCATGAAGTTTCCCCCAGGTACTGGTTCTTGTAATGTGTCCAAAGTAAGATGAAGTCTTGTCATTCTATGTCTAAACATTCTGGCTGCATTTCTTCAAGCAGCCCATGGGATACTCAATATTCTTGGCCAACACCATACTTCTTTGGTTTTCCTTGCCCATCTTTTGTAAGCATATGAGGCAACTGGAAATACCATGACTTTTGTAGTAGCTTTGCCCAGTATACCATTCTTTGATTTCTTGACTACTGACTGCAACAATGGATTCATGTTGTGAATCCAAGCAAAATGAAATTGACAATTTCATTTCTCATGCTGCTGCTTATTGGTCCAGCTGTGATGATTTCTGTTGAGATAGAATCTGTACTGAAGACTATAGCCTTTGATCTTCATCTGTAGTGCTGTTATGTGTCAAGTTGGTTCCAAATCAGCAATGCTATGTAGAGTTTCCGTGGAGCCGCTGGTAAGTTTCAACTGCGGACCTTGATGTGTACAGTCCAGTATTTATTCTACAGCGACACACCAGTGCTCCATACTTCTGTTCTAGAATCTTACAAGCCTGTTAGCTCCTCAGATCCTTTGTACTTTGTAACCCCTCAGTTCCCTCTGCACTGGTGGCTTTCTCTTTCTAACCTTAAATATCACTTCCTTAGGGTCTCTCCCTCCTCCCCTTGGCACGGTACATCCTATTTTAGATTTTTCTCCACTCTACTGAATGTTTTAAATTGTTTCCTGACTGTTGTCCTCATTGGAGAGCAGTTTGTAGTGCCCTGAGCTTGGTGTTCCAAAAATGTCAGTCATTCCGAAAGAGTAATCTCCAGCTGCCTATGAAGTCGACTGCAGTTTCATGAGAGAATCCATGGCTTTCTGATCCCAAAGAAAACTTTTAAATCAAGTTTGCTGAAACTAATTTTCCCAAGTGGACCTGTGATTGAGTGTGCTGAAACCTAGTTTCCATTATCTTGAATCCCTAACATGCTATGAGGGAGAAAAGGGAGCATGTTCTAGAACTATGTAGTCCCTGGTCCCTCTTCCGTGTTAAGCTACATCAGGTATGTACCTCAATATAGCAGAAATATGTATATAATCAGGGGAGTGCCATGGTGCTGTAGGATAAGCATTGGACTGGGAACCAAAGGTCAGTGGTCTGAGCCTACCAGCTGTTCCACAGGAGAAAGAGGAGACTCTGCTCCCACGGACACCACCCTGTACAGGACCACTGAGTCAGAATCAATTCAACAGCCACAAGGGAGACATTCAAATAGTAAATCAGTATTCTCCGTGCTGTCCTGTGGTGGCTTCTATGGCCCTCAGCCCATGGTGTTCAACTTCAGAGCTGGTCTGGGGGACCTATAGATGGCAGAAGTGACACATGGCTTCCAATGGTTCATAAAAGGTCTGGCAGCTCTGCCTCTGGCTCCCCCGGCTATGGGGAACAGTGCTGTGGAGAGGACCACAGGCCTCCAGCCAGCAGTTAGCACCAGCTTTCCTGCCAAGGGGATGTGCCTCAGCCCAGCCTGCAGGTTATGACAGCCCAGGTCACCTTGAATGCAACTTCATGGATAATTCCAATCCAAAACCACCCACCCACTCACCTCCCAAATTCCTCACAAACAAAAATGGTGAGAATGTTTGTTTTAAATCATTAGTGTTGGGGTAGTTGGTTACACAGCAATAACTGGGGGGGGGGGGGGAATGAAAAGGGTGGGACTATCATGCCAAAGTAGCAATAGCTACGGTCCAGTCCAAACTGCAGGGCAATGGACATCTGCACTGCTGGGCCCCCGGCTGATCTGTGCTGCTCGCCTGCTGCCCAAGGGCTGGAAAATCCCACGTAGACTGGCTCTCGTCCAAGCTGTTAAGTCAGCAACGATTCTCTAAACAGGGCTGGCTCAAATCGTTCCTGCTCACGCGGAGTCCCGCTCATCTGTGCAGAGAACAGCTCCATAGGATTTTCAAGGCTGGGACTTCCAAAAGCTGATTCCAGCTCTGCCTTCCAGGTACCTCTCTGTGGGTGAGTCCAGGACTGACTTGTGAATCACCCAGGGACTCTCATTTAGAGAGGAAAACAGGGCTTCGTGTGTCTTCCCCAAATTTGGATTTGAGGTTGGATTTCTAGCCTTGGGAATCCTATATGGGAACCATCATGAGCACAGCATCCTCTGGACTCCTGCTGTAGGGCTTTAGGATCAGCACTTGACTACTAACTGAAAGGTTAGCAGTGCAAACCCACCAGCCGGGCCTCAGAAACCCTAACAGGGCCGCAGAGTCAGATCCTACTCAACAGCATGCACCACCACCTAGTGTAGCGCTGTAGGATAAGCACTAGACTGCTAAGCCCAAGGCTGGTCATTCAAACCCACCAGCCACTCCTTGTTAGCCCTATACAGGTCACTTGTGAGTCAGAACTGACTCTATGGCACTTAAGTGCCTGGTTGTGAAGGAAAAGGCCAGCAGTTCAAACCTCCCTGCCACAGAGAAAGAGGTGGGTGGCAGTCAGCATCGACTTGTTGGCACTGGGATGAGGTACCCAGTGAGGAGCTCATTCCAATGCTGGGTTCTCACGTCACAAACACAGGACCTACGAACCCTGTGCTCGGGCATACTCCTCTGGTTGCAGAAACAGCATGAGTGGGATGGACTTGGGGGAACACAAGGAACAGATACCCTCCTCTTCCCCTGCTTCAATATCAACGGTTGCCCCTCATCTTGAACTTCCTACAGCTGCCCTGACAAAAAAGAGGTTACTATTTCTCTTCCACTGAACTCACATTCTCAAGGCAATAAAAAACACGGTTAAGTGTATCTTTGTGTACTCTTCCTTAAATGTCACATACAAGGATCAAAGGAACGGGGTGGCTGTTTCTACTCAGGAAGTAAATGTACCCGAATGCCAATGTTGCAGGAGAAGAAAGCAGGTGGGAGGACAGGGTGTCTGGGGAGGAGAATCCTGTCCTTAATTGTCACACACACCTGTTCCCTTTCATACCTGTTTCCACTGTGATAATGTGTGTTCCCGGTGGGAGAGAGCATTAGACTCTCCAATGGAAAGTGATTTTTGGATGCAAGACAGACATACCTTCCTCTTCCACAGTGAGGAACAGCAGGTGGCACAAAAGAGGGCTCTTTATTCAGACAGCAGAGTAAGGCAAGGCGAAGTGGAGGACTGCACTATCTCCACGGCAACAGTCTCAGCGCTAAAGCCCCTGGGCTCTGTCAGGCAGATGGCTCCAGGCTCAGGAGAAGCATTTTTTCCAGGGATGAGACCCTATCAGACCACCGGTTACAGTGTGGAAGGGTGGCTGGGGGATCGGCCGGTCAGCCCTGGAAGTGGCTGGTGAGTGTGTCCAGCAGCTCCTGCTTCTTCAGACCGCCCTTCAGTCCATACACGCGGCAGGCTTCCTTCAGCATGGGCACAGTGAGCTTACCCAGGGTGCCTTTGCTGATGTGACTCTTCAGCTCCTCTTCAGATACTTCTACCTTGGGCCTTTTGCTTCCAGAACCTTCATCATCTGGGGAGAATATGTCAGGAGGAGTGACTAATGCTACCACAGGCATCCCAGCTACCCTGTACAGGGTGCCCACGTGATCTGGGTTGCAGCTCCCCGTTTTCCACAGAGCACTGGCCTCTGCCTACAGCCCCGCGGGGAAGATGCAGTGTTGATGAGGCAGCTTCTTTAAGTGTAAAACCAAAAATGTATCACACCCAGGAGGAAGCTAGTGTGAAAGCCATCAGTTTACCCAAAACTTGCCTTGCTCTGGGTGGACAAATCATTTCTCCTTTCTCTCCTTTCCCCTTCTCCTTCCACACAGAGCACCCTGTGTGAGGGGGCTTCAAAAACTTGGTGGAGAAATTACCACAAATGTGTAAAAGCCTCCTCACACAACCTAAGCCAGAACTACTCAGGTGAGGACAGAAAAGGCACTTTGCTGAGAGGAATGAGTCACAGTAAAAAGTACTCTGGTCTAGCAATAAGAAAAGAACAAGAGGGAAAAAACGGGTAAGGGTTATTAATGGGAATTTCACAGAAAAAAAAAGTATCAATGTCATTTTCAACAAAAAAAATAAAATTATTTAAATGTAAGTCAAATAAATTACATCTCATAATTGGAAAACTGCAAATCAAAATAAGATATGGTTTTCTCTCTCTTATTTTTGTGAAAACAAGTTTTAAATGTTTACATAGTCTAGGGTTGGTGAGAAGTAAGGGAAGAGATGTCACCCCTCCTTAGCTAAAGTGTAAACTGTTTCTCTTTCCTGAAGGCAACCTGGCAATTCTGATGAGATGAACTGCCTACACCTGGACCCTGTGATCCCACAGCTTAGAATCTATCGCCCAGACGCACACACACAGTGCTCGTTCCCTGCATCCCTGCAACTAAGGTGTATGGTACCCACACATACATGCGGGACGTGGTAGAACTGCCATCCTGCTCGGCTTAAATGAGAGCCAGGCCCAGAGCTCAGGGGTGGAGACAGAGGTGAGAGATGAGGACAGAGTGTGGCCTGTGGACCCAAGGTCCTGTGCTGAGAACCTCCTGGACACAGGAGGCAGCTCTCACACCACAGAGTGTGAGGAATGGTAGCAGCAGGGCTAGGGACTGGTGAGAAAGCGCACTGGGCTCGCCAACGAGTCTGGGCAGGAGGCTTGCTGGCAGATTGGGGTGCCTCTGGTCACCAAGTGGAGCTGAAGAGCTTTGTATCGGAACAGAGGCTGGGCTGGCCGTGGAGGCCTATGGATCAGGGAAAGGTCTATGTGTGGGCACAGCTGAGAAGAGGCTGTCCTGATGGAAGAACGGTATCCTGTCACTTCTCTAGTGAACCCCATAATTGTAAACCCCATAACTGTGAATATTTTTTGTGAATTCTGTGTGGCCACTTCATGAAAATACCTAACTGGGCAGAGCAGCAGACAGTGTTGTGGAAGGATGGTAACAAGGTTGGAGAGAGGACACCTGTCTGACCTCCACCTCACAGGAATCAGCCTTAGGCTGACGCTGCTGATGGCGACTCTGAGCCCTTTTGTCAAGTGAAAGGTCACACTCCCCGCCCTGCCTTTTACCAACATGAAAACAACTTTAAACATAAGCCACCTAGGTGCAACTATTGCTCTCCACAGGAAGGGAAGAAGAGTAAGGAAAACCAGAGACATGGAAGCAATTCATCCAAAGCACCAATGGACCAGGCGAACTCCAGCCTTCTAGACCCTGAGGTCAGGAGAACTAGAAAGTGTCCCCGTACCACTACCAACTGCTCTGAAAGCGATCACAAGTGGTGGTCTTGGATGGAGTGGAAGAAAAATGTGAAACAAAGCTCAAAATCACAAAAAAGACCCGGTTTCCTGATCAAATAAAGATTAGTAGAACTGCCCTTAGTCGCTCTTCAAGGCTGGAACTAAACTCAGCTCTGGGGCTCCACTTTGAGCCAAACAACAGACAGGCATATAATGGAACAAGTAACACCAGTGGAGGTAGGCACACCTTTGAAAAATCAATCACACAAGATCAAAAGGGAAGCATCTGCCTGAGGCAAAAATGAGAATGCAGGAAGGGATAGATGAGAAGAAGGGTGAATGGAAATGGGAAACACAGGAAAGAAGTGGGAAACCTGCTATTACATCCTGGGAATTGTAATGATGGCACAAAACCAAGTACATATGAAAAAATCACAAAAGCTGAAAAATACAACCCACTCAACACCCAGGCTCAGCTCACCTTGTTTGCGTTTGGTGGTTTTCATCCCAGGATTGTAATCTGTTGGGTAGACCAGGTCCTTAAACTCATCCACCAGGGAGCCCAGTCGTTTATCCATATCTTCAACTCTGGGCACTAGACAATCAAAACAGAGAGACTGGCTTGGAGAGTCGTGAACCTTGGCTTCCTGCTCAGTCCCACCTTTAGAGGAACCAGAGGACCAGGCACCTAACTTCTGGGAAGGGTAAGGCTGGGGCAAAGGTTGGCAAGGAGCTGCTGGACTGGCCAGTCGGTCATTGGAAAGCATCCAGTAATGTCACATTCACCAAGCACCGTTAACAGTCACATTTACTGAGCACTTACTATAGCCAGGAACTGTTCTAAATGCAGCAATGCTGTAAGGAACCCTGGTAGGGTAGTGCTTTACGAGCTGAGCTACTAACTCCACCTGCAGGAGAACGATGAAGCTTTCTACTCCCGTAAAGATTTACTGCTTTGGAAACCCAAAGGGTTGCTATGCGTCAGCACTGACTCTGGCACACCACTGCCGCCACTACCACAACCCCCTATGGGATACGTACATTAGATTCCCTGTTTTACATGAAAGGAAAGCAGAGGGGCTAAAGGAATGGTCCAAGGTCAAGCAGCAGGTAAGTGGTAGAGCTGCACTGTAGTAGATTCTAGGCTAGGTATTCAAACAAGAGTGAAGTCGAAGTCTACACCCTCAGTAGGCTTACAGTAAAAGCATAAAGGCAATAGTACAGGGCAGCGCCGTAAAGGAAGGGGCTGTACAGAGCAGTGAGGCCAGAAGGGACAAGAACGACTACTACAACCTGACACACAGGACAACTGTCTGGCTGGCATTCAAGTCATCGCCAAAGCCTGCGTTCTTACCACCACGGGAGGTACTAAGTGAAAAACACCAGGTTATCACGTGAGGAGAACAGGATCTGCAAAGGGGCTGAGGTCAGGGACACCTTGAACATCTGTTGAGGCATTTGACCTTACTGCAGAGCAGTGGGGACACGTGTGTGTGTGCGCTAAAAATACACATAACTAAACATCTCTCAATTCAACAATTTTTCCACATACACTTGAGTGGCCATGATTCCAACCCGAAATCATCATCACTATCCTTGCAGGTGTAACCCACCACCACTCAGTACCTAGTGGGTGAACCCTGACCAAGCTAAAGCAACAGAACAACATGATTAAAGTGGCATTCAAGAACCATTTCCCTGACGGCTGTGTAGGCTGAGTTGTGAGAGTGTAAGCCACACGGTCCACCACGTGTCTGTCCCTTTGTCACATAGTGTTGGCCTGCGTGTGGCTGAGATACTGGAAGAACTATGCCACTGCTATTTTGAACACCAGTGGGATCACCCATAATGGACAGGGTTCAGATCTGTGTCAGATCCTGAAGAAGGCGAGGTGGAGCACTCCTGAAGGGTGAGCCACTGAAAACCTTAAGAACAGCGATGAAACATTATCAGATATAGTGCCCGAAGATGAGCACCTAAAGCAGAAGGCACTCCAAATACTAGTGGGCAAGAATTGCCTCTTCAAAATAGAATCGACCTTAGTGATGGGGCTGGAGCAAAGCTTTCAGGAGCTTCATTATGCTGATGGGACACAACTTAAAATAAGGAGAAATAGCTGTAAATATCCATTAATAATCAGAACATGAAATGTACAAAGTATCAACGTAGGAAAACTGCAAGTCATCAAAAATGAAGTGGAATGAATCAAGATGGATACGCTAAGCATTAGCGAGCTACTAAGGACTGGTATTGGCCATTTTGAATCCAACAATCATATGGTTTATTAGCCGGAATGGCAGCTTGACTACATCAGTTGTAAGAGATGGTAGAAAAGCTCCCTATTATCAGCCAAAACAAGACCAGGGACAGATAGTGGAACAAACCATCAATTGCTCATATGCAAGTTCAGGTTAAAGCCAAAGAATATTAATACAAGTCCATGAGAGCCAATATATGACTTTGAACATATTGTACCTGAATTTAGAGACCATCTGAAGAACAGATTTAATTCATTAGATACAAATGACTGAAGACCAAAAGAACTGTGGCATGACATCAAGAACACCATACAGGAAGAATGAAAAGTCATTAAGAAGACAAGAAAGAGAGAAAAGAACAAAATGGATGTCAGAAGAGACTCTGAAACTTGCTCTCCAGCATAGACATGCTAAAGCAAATGGCAGAAGTAAGGAGGTAAAAGAACTGAACAGAAATTTTCAAAGAGCAGCTCAAGAAGACAAAGTCAAATATGATGAAACTTGCCAAGGCCTGGAATTAGAAAACCAAAAGGGAAGAACACAACATTTCTCAAGCTGAGGGAACTGAAGAAAAAAATCCAAGCCTCAATTTGCAATATCGAAGGATTCTATGGACAAATGATGGAAGGAATACACAGTCACGCTACCAAAAAGATGATACTGAAGGAATTACACTGAAGGCGTTGACAAAGAACAAGGCTCCAGGAATTGATGGAATACAAAATGAAATCTTCTACCAAATATTCAGCAATGGAGGCACTACACTAATCTATGCCAAGAAATTTGGAAGACAGCTTTCTGGTCAACTGATTAGAAGAAATCCCTATCTGGCCATTCCAATGTGGAAATCATCGGACAATATCATTGATATCCAATGCAAGTAAAATTTTTCTAAAGATACTTCAAACAAAGCTGCAGGAGTACATTGACAGGGAGCTTCCAGAGGTTCACGCTAGATTCAGACAGAGAAGTGGAACAAGGGATATCATTGCTGGATCTTAGCTGAAATGACATAAGAAGCTTCAAAAGAAGGTGGAAGGAAAGAAAGAAGG